GCCGGGGTTGGGGGTGCCCACCCCCGGAACCCCGGAACCCCGCCGGGGCCTCGGGGCAGGGGCTCGACAACCCTGGTCTCAGCTAGAGGTTGTGTGCCCGTCGTTCAAACTCCGTTCGGGTTCGGCGAACGAACCCCGAGGCTCGGTACTTGCTGTCTCGCTGGCACTCAGAACAAGGGGTTCGAGGCCAATAGGGAGCGATAGTGTGCCACGGGATGACGGTGAGGTAATGGAAGGGTAGCACCACTCGGTACGGTGGGCAGTGAGTTATTAGGACAACGAACCCAAGTTCGGAGAAGAAGTGGCTCATGTGGGATTCAGGGAATTGGGTTGTGTAAGGAACAGCGTCCAATGCCCTTCCTATATCCTAGTCGCACACACGTTCGTCTCCTCGTTGGTAAGGGAATCTCGGAGGATCGGGGCAATCATTTGCGGAGCGAGGAAGTACGCTTTCTTTCGTTCCCAATATTTTCGATATTCGGGGTCCCGCAAACTTTCTCGGTTCGTGATGAGAAACATCCTGTCAATCCGGCGAAAACGTCGTCATCGCCCGCGCGCAGATCTTGCAGACACGCGTGTAGGCACCATCCCTTTCGGTCGGGCTTACACTTGCATGCACAGGATCTACTTACGGCTAAGTGAGGGGCTGGTTCCGGATGAGCAGGAGTGGGCGCAAGCGATGGCCGATCAGAAGATACGATCTGGGTTAGCTTAATTCAAATTTCGTCACTTTCTAGTACCCATCATTACTTCCCTCCTCCTTCCTAAGGCGCATGTCATGCGCAACTCCTCGGTCCCTCCCGAATTGTCAATCATGAATAACCAATCACGGGTTCGTACAATCACGACTTCTGCGTACACATATTTTCTCTACCATTACACCCCAAGTTCTCACCCATGCATTCATCAAAACAACGAAATCCCCCTCAGACTCATTCATGTTTAGCGACGGTGAGGAATCGACAAGAGTGCGTATCTTAGATCGAAAGGAAAGACAACATGCATTCAAACAGAAACCACCGATCTTGCAAGAAATTGAGAAGGGCAATCACGTAGCAAACAGAAAGTGAGGAAGTACAAGCATTCATCGCACTGTCAACCATGCAAGATTGATAGAGTGGAAAACAAATGATGTCTCACACACAAATGCAAAATAATTCACAAAGAAAATCCGAAGTTGCCTCAACAAAATTGGACAAGGCGGAAATCCAAAATTTATACAGGAAGGTTGGAAGAAGAAGAAACAAAAGGAAAAGACACCATCCCGATCCTTTGCGGGCAGTCAGTCACCTCCCATCAACACCCACGATACCGGCTGTTCGTCACCTTGTATCAACGCAGAGTTGTTACCCCGCTTGGTCCAAGCATGCAAGCCAGGTTCGCCCGTGCGCCACAGTCCGTTGCGGCCCCGCATGTCAACCCCGCATACCCGACACCAGCTCATCGGATCGCCCAACTCTCATACTAACTCACCTTCCAAACTTGATCGTTAACCGACCCTCACTGATCGCGCTAACCTCGAGATTCTTAGAGAGAGCAACTAATCGCGCTTGCGAAATTTATAGCATGCCTGCATGCGCGATGAATTTGGGAATATGCCTAAGCAAAGGAAGATAGGAAGTATCTACGTCTGCATGTCCAGGCCGCGGCGCGGCGGACGGAGCCACTCTCCGCGCATCGATCCAGGCATGCAAACGTGGGAACCACTTAGGACAAAGGAAGAGGGTGTGCATGCGAAGACAAGGCGGGAAAGAAGGAAACACAAGGCCATCAAGAACAAGAAGATTACAGTTGCGATTGTGCCCGCCAAAAGTTACAGTTACACACAAGATTAAGGTGCGGATGGAAATTAGAGCCCAGACCCTGTCGAGGCACGGCGCGTGCGAGCAAGAAGCGTCGTGCAGCCAAATTGCAAGGTGCCTAAATTCCTAGTCTAAATCCTAATTGCAAAAGGAAATTCCGAAAGAAAAACAATTCCGAGAGCCCGCGGGGGCTCGTCATTAGTTCGAATTTTCAAAAACGAAAATTCTCGCGTGCTAATCGCGCCAAAATTCCTAGTGCTCACAGCACAACAAGAAAGGAGTTATGGCAACCGTTATTTCTCGCGCTCGCTAAGGCGCGGTCACTCAATCGTCGACGCGGGACTTTCCCGACACAGGTCCAAAGAATTCCAACAAAAATGAAAAAGAAGCGAGGGTATCCATGCAACTTGCCCAACCGATCCCTGCTTACGCACGTAACCCATCAAAGCCCTCTCGTTTCCCCACAGCAGCCTCGCGCTGGAAGTCGCACGGTTACATAAGATAGTTCGTCACATATGTGACGCCCAGGGGGCTCCAATTTTGAGCAAGCTCCCGCTTGCTCTCTCATCAGGCGTCGATCCATGATCGGATGATCGACGCAAAGCTTACACGTGCCACACCGTAGGATCCGAGTGTGGAAGTCATCCAGCGTGGCAATCGTGTGCTCAATCCAGAATGGTGTCGGGGAAGGGTAGTCTGATTACAGGCGGGGGAGGGGACGGATGCACCTGGGGAAGGGGAGGCATGAAGTTGTAGATCTTCCTATCGTCAGAAGGGAGCGGGATGTAGTAGATGGAGCGATGGATACGAGGAAAGCGAGGGTGTTGTCGTTGGTGGGGGAGAGAAGCACGGTAGTCGGGGTAAAGGGTAACGATGGTGCGACGAATGGCTGCGCGGAAATTGTCATAATCTTCGCACGCAGGGATCGTGCCAGAGATGATGCAATAAACCTCCATATGATTGAACTCCTGCTAATCGACGCTAAAGAGTAGGACATGGAGAGGAAAGGAAGCGACGAGCGAACGGGTAGTGGTGTGAGGGAAGATGGTGATAAGGAACCGAGTGGCGGCGATAGAAGAGGGGAAGAGGAAACGAATGCCATATGTTGGGGAACGGGGGTTGGCCTACAAGCTGCTGGACGGTGAGGAAGTCGTAGGGACAGCGGGATAATGACCTGTCTCTTATACACATCTAGATGTGTATAAGAGACAGGGGTAGTGGTGTGAGGGAAGATGGTGATAAGGAACCGAGTGGCGGCGATAGAAGAGGGGAAGAGGAAACGAATGCCATATGTTGGGGAACGGGGGTTGGCCTACAAGCTGCTGGACGGTGAGGAAGTCGTAGGGACAGCGGGATAATGACCGGGGACGAAGCCCGAGCGCCCGCATCTCCACGTAGGCGAAGGGCGGCACAACAGGGTGGGGAGGATTAAGAGGGGGATCCACTTCTTCGGCAGCTGCAGCGTGTTGAGGGCCCAGCCGAGAAAACCATGCTGCTTGAGATACAAATCGAGTTTGCTTATCTATATAAGATTCAAAATCCATTGGTTTTTCAAGTGTAGAAACAATCTTTTGTATTTCTCGAATACAAGTTGCAGTATCAACTATTCCCATTGGAATATTAGCAATATAAGGCATCTCAAATTCTTTCTCTAAATATTTGGCAGTCATTAATCTAATTTCACGTTAAGGAATAAAACTGAACCATGCTCTAGAAAGTTTTTTCATGTTATTAACAGAATTGCCTTCCAGAATAATTTCATTTATTTCAATACCTAAATCTTGAAACAAGCGCCTAATCGTTTATTTTGAAATTTTAATTAGGAGAAAAAAAATGAAGATAGCAGTATATGGAAAAGGTGGAATAGGAAAATCTACTACAAGCTGTAATATCTCCATAGCGCTAGCAAGATGTGGGAAAAAAGTATTACAAATTGGTTGTGACCCAAACATGATAGTACTTTTACCTTGACAGGATTTCTGATACCAACAATTATCGTCTTCTTCTCGCGGAGGCTCCGGATTGAGCGCATGATTTCCCTGCAGCAGCTGCAGTGGCGGTCCTGAGTCCTCGATCGAACGTTTGCCTTCCACTTTCTCCCACCATTTTCGGTCCTCAGCTTCCTGCTCCTCCCTCGTCAGCTTGGCTGCTTCACTCGAATCAGTCGACGTGGCTTCCTCTTCGCCGGTCTCCTCCTCCGAGTCGTCCTCCTGTTCCTCGTTGTCTTCCCCCGATACAGCCTCTCCCAACACCTCGGCCTCAGACTCCCGGTAATCAGGATCGTCGTCCCGCTCCTCCTCCTCCGTCGACTCTTCGAACTCTTCTTCTTCCTCCTCCTTTGCCTCCTCGCTCGTTTGCCCTTCAGGGACGCGTCGGACGAGTGGGTCCCACGTGGACAGATCGGTGACGTCCGGTGTCAGATACACGCCCCTCGACGCCAAATAGTAGTTCCACTCGTCTAGCTCCGTACACGTGGCCCACAGGAGTTGCGACTCCAATGAGCGAGTAAGCGTGGCCGTTCCTGGTCTTTCGTCGCAGCGCGACAGGATCTCCAGTGGCAGATCGTCCAACACTTGGACCAGGAATACCAGCAATTCGTCTGTGATGGCGCTCAAATTGTCATCGCGCACTTCCCCGAATATGATCCCCAGGAAATCTCCCTCCGTACCTGTCCTCCACGCTTGAACGAGCAGCAGCTCTACCTCATTGTTTGGAACCTCACTCTCCACAGTCCGGTCTGCAGGCTCGGCCCAATGGAATGCGACGTCGAGAAGGCAGAAGCTGAGCGCTACGTAAGCTTGCCACTGCCACCACGGGCCCCACAGCAGCGCGCACAGGATCGGCACGTCCAGGTGCTTGACCGTGAAGGATAAGGATGTGTCCTCGGCAGACTGCCAGAACACGGGGACATCCGAAGGGAGGGTGAAGGTGGAGAGGCGATGACGGTTCATCGAGGCGGGGCGAAAGGAAGAAGCTCGGGAAGGTCGACCTCCGGCGCAGTAAGAGACACCCGAAGTTGAAGGTCGATATTGTTGGTCGTCACGACCCGATCGCGTGGCCGAGCCAACGATTGCACCCACGCCCTCGTGATATCCGTCCCCCGGGCTCTCAGCTGTTGGAAGATCTCGGTATGGCGCACCGGATGCAGAGAAGTAAGATCGCCTGTGAAGACGATGATGACCGACACGTGGCTTTCTCTCGGGGGAGACAGTCGCAAAAAGACCGACACCTCGGCCAACACATGTGTCTCTCCAACTGACGTGAATCAAAATTCGGCCACCGCGTGAATGGCCGTTGTGCTAAAGAAGGCAGCGAATCGGAGTAAATCTAGACTCACTCGGGGTCGCCACACTTGCCGAATCGACGATATGCAACCACTGGGTTGCATGAAACGCTCACTGATGACTTGCTCGTTCAAAAAGCTCATGGCGATGGCAAGGGGGACGAAGGCTGAGGAGTAGAGGAATCAAGATAGTCGAGGTGGTCGTCTTCTTCCTCGAGGTCGAGGGACGATATAGACGATGGAGAAGAAGGGGAAGAAGGAAGAGGACGAAGGTAGGACACGTAGCGAATGATCGGACGAGCCGATCGGCTTCCCGACACCTCCGGTGCAAGCCGCACCATGTTCACCTCGCTCGGACCAAGCTCGACTACGTGAAATCGCCCGAAGAATCGTATCGCTAGCTTACCTTGACGTGCACATTTCCTCACCTGCACTATGTCCCCTAATTTGTACTGGGGCCAGGGACCCGCGTTCCCGTTCCGGGCCTCATAGCTTCGGACCTGTCGGCCATGGGCCATTTCCGTTATACGCTGTCTTTTTCGGGCCAACCGGGGAAGGGCCCTTTCCATCAAATCCAAATGATGCTGGGCCTTGTCCTTAACCGTCGCTCTAGTGGCCCTTCGGGGAAGGGTCGTTTCATCATTGAGGCTCGGTAGGGTTACACACGGTAGGCTATTGGTCCATAACTGGAACGGTGTCAGACCCGTAGATTCGTAGGGTGTCCCCCGATGAATCGCAAGGATATGATTCATGATATCTGGCCAGGGCCTCATGTCTCTGGTCGCGATATTGCGTCGTAATGCAGTCTTAATTACCCGGTTTGCATTTTCTACGACCCGTTCGATTGCGACATATGGGGAGCAATATTGTGAATAGAGACACCATGTAGGACCAGGTTCCTCAAAACATCCCCTCTAAATTCAGCCCCATTATCCGTTAAGATTTCTTCCGTATCCTGGTGCATGTCGAGGAAACGGTCGACGTATCGTGCGATTTCCGTCGCCTGTCTCGTCTTACAAGGATACGCCTAGATCCATTTTGAAAAATGATCGACAGAAACCAAAAGGATTGAATATTCGCAGCTATTCGGTCCAGGGGGCACGACAATATCCGTCGTATCCATGCTAACCCTTTGAAACGGCCGTTGGACTTCAGTGGGCACTATCGACCTAGGCGGCCGAATTGGCGCCTTGTCAGCGGCGCAGACCTGACAATTTCGGATGATGAATTTAACATCGTCGCAAATGTTCGACCAATACCACTCGTTCTTATCGATTGCGGCTTCTGTGATTCTGACAGCAAAATGGGTGGCGGTTTCCTCGTGTGCCGACTTAACCCAGTCATACCTCATGAACGGATGCGGGACAGACACCCAAATTCCGCTACCATCCGTTTTTCGTTTTTCTAACCGTCCTTCGTTCCATCGATAATCCCGAGCCGCTCATTGGCCCGCCTCTGATCCTCCTTTGTCAAGTCTCGGAGGGGGTTCCCAACCACTGTAGCTATTAAGACGACATATGTCCAGACCTCAACCCTCCTAAACCGTCGAGTTCCTCCTTTGTCAAGTCTCGGAGGGGGTTCCCAACCAGTGTAGCTATTAAGACGACATCTGTCCAGACCTCATCCCTCCTAAACCGTCGAGTTTTTTCTAACCCTTCAGACGTGGCTTCGAGGAATCGAGCCTCCGTCAGAATCTTATTATTTCGACATAAGGGACATAACCAGGACTTGTCCGCGTCCGATACTGAATGCAGGTACCATGGGCCCTAGAAACACAATCCTGACAATCTACCCACTGGACATACCCTTCCCCTGTGTATCTTTTGAACGGAGAACGCAAAAAATTGAACGCGCGTTCATCCGTTTAATGGGCCCCCGACCCCCGTTAAATCGAGTTAAACGCGAAAACGGGGGTGTTCCGTTCAATTTTGAAAAACGGAACCGGCGCGTTGGGCCTCGGACGCGTGGCCCTACGCGCCCAAAAACTAAAAACAAGAAAAAAAAAAAAAAAAAATGACCCCTACTAACAGGGTGGGGTGGCCAAACATTCCCCTCCCTCCCGAAATTCAAACTGCAAGAGGGTAAAAAGTAAGGGCC